AAATCCAAAGAGCCCAAATTTGATCCCCAGCACCAAATAAGGTCCTCAGGGATCTGCAAGAGTGATCCCTGAGCTCATATCCGGGAATAAATCCTGAGCACTGCCAGATGTGACTCCCCCAAACAAAGAAAAAAGCAAACAGCAAACTTCCAAAGTGTGCTCTTCCCTGTAGTAAAAACAAACAAGAAAACATGAACCATTAGATGCAAAAAAAGGTAAACCGACACCATCACCACCACCCAAGGCTGTTGTCCAGAGAATATACATGCATACACCCTGCACACCCTCCATACATTTCCACTGGATTTTCAAAGATCTTCCTTTGATTATCCCCAGATTATCCATCAATGAGGGCCAGAGTGCTAGTGAAGTGGGTAGGGTGCTTGCCTTGCACACAGCTGACCCAAATTCAATCCCTACCATTTCATATGGTCCCTCAACCCACCACCAGGAGTGATTCCTGAGAGCAGAGCCATGAGTAATTCGTGAGTATTGGTGGGTGTGGCCTCACCCAAAACTATCCTTCAGTGGACCGACTAAGTAGCACATGTTTTGCTTATTATATTTCTCATTTAGTTATATTTCTAATCAAGCTCTCTCAGATTCCAACTCCGTTTGCAAAAGAGAACCCTGCCTCTAAGCAGAGGTTCTTCATTCTCTCCACAAACATCCAGAAAGTAGAAAAATCTAAAACGACACAAGTTTGAACAGGAAAGTCCTCTTCTACAAGATACACATCAGTACCGGGAAAGGCAATAGGGCAAGTAACATGTTCCTTTGGTGTTCCAGGTACTTGGTGCCTTATCACATATACTATTTACTGAATCTAAACAATGACGGAAAAAAACAGAAAAGTAATTGGAAAATACGGATTGTAAAAACCTGAAACCTCACAGTTTCTCTCTGCTAGTTTTGTGGAGAACTCCACTCAAGGAAACAAGTCCTGGGATAAAGTGGGCATTATTCTACAACTGGTAGTTTTCTGTATGATTGAAAACAGATGTGTGGGAAGTCATTTGCATATGCTAGACATAATAATTACCTTGAGTTTTGAAATGTACTGTGCTCTTTTCCTTTATCCTTTTAGCTACTACCCAACCAATTTTGGTTGCTTGTTTTTTTGGGCCACACCTGGCAGTGCTTCAGGTTTACTCCTTGCTCTGCTCTCAGGGATTACTCCTGGCAGGGCTTGGGGGACCACATGGGGTGCCAGGAATCAAAACTGGGTTGACCATGTGCAAGGCAAATACTCTCTCTGACCCTCACCCAGTGTTCTTGCTTAAATTGAGCTATTTCATCTATTCTTTTGATTAATATTTTGATTAAATAGTTAATACTACTTTGATTCAGTAAGCTGTCTTAATAGCTAACCTTTAAAAGGTTAAAAAGTGGGGGCTGGAGGGAGTCTAAGAGATAGTACAGCGGGTAGAGTACATGCTTTGCATGTGGCAGGCCCGGGTTCAATTCCCAGCACTCCATCTGATTCCCCCCAAATCAGCCAGGAGTGATTCCTGAGTGCAGAACCAGGAGTAAGCCCTGAGCACTGCTGGCTCTGACCCCAAAACAAACAAAACAAAACAAAACAAAAATGGTTGGGATAGAAAGATAGCTCAACAGGCTGGAGTGCATGCCTTGTATGCAAGAGGTCTAGGTTTGATCGCTAGTGCCACAAAGTAAACAAACAAAAAAAAATCAGAAAAAATAGAATAATGCACATCCTAGGTTTTCTAGAAATAATTAACATTTGTGTAATGTATGTAAAATTTATGTAAAAGGGCAGACAAATTTTAAGTGCAGTTTCTTGTTTGTTTTGGAACCACACCTGGTGGTATTTAAGGCGGTTATGCTCAGGAAACTAAATACAGTGTGTGTGTTGGGGGGGGCGGGGGGGGGGGTTCAGCTGGAGATTGACTCAGCTAAATGCAAGGCAATGGGCCTTACCCACTGTGTTATTTCTGAAACCTCCATGCACACAATTTTTAAAAATGAATTTAAGGGACTGAGGACATAGATGAAATGGGAGAGCATATGCCTGGCATGAGAAATGCTGAGTTTATTTATTTAGTTTCTGGGTCACAGCTGACAGTGCTCAGGGATCACTCCTGGCTCTGCACTCAGGAATTACTCCTGGTAATTAATTTCCTGCTCAGGAAACAAAATGGAGTGCCAGAGATCAAACTCTGGTCAGATGCATGCAAGGCAGGTGCCTTATATACTGTACTATCTCTCCATTTCCTAGAAACCCTGAGTTTAAATCCAGGCACTGGGTTCATTGTCCCCTCCATCTCCCCCTCCCCATACACACCCTAGCACTGCTGGGTGTGGCCTATACAAATTTAAAGTCTGATATCTAATAGGACAGGTTGAAGGGCATGCAGATGAATATAGTACTATTACTATACTTGTACTTATAAGGTACTTGGGAGAAATTAAGTATCATGGCAGGAAACATGATTATGCATTTTACTTGTAAAGAGCTTTATGAGAGAGAGAGAGAGAGAGAGACAGAGACAGAGACAGAGACAGAGACAGAGAAAGAGAGGCATGCTTTCTAGCTGGTATGTGAACAACTCCAGAAGTCTGCTGTGCAGTTAATGATAGCTGTTAAAAGTACTTTTAACCCAACAAAAAAAGCCCCAACAACAAAAGCCCCTACTTTTTTCATATAAAGACCCGTTTCACAAAACAATCTGGGGTAGAAACCAGGGGTGAATGTGACTCAATACTGCTAGAGTTCTGGTTCATTTGTCCTGCCAATACTCTTAGAGGAAAGGCATTAAAATTCTTGTTTATTGTCATCTTACGGCCCAGTGAGGAGTGCCATCCCTCTAAACACTACTGACAAAAAGAAGGGGATGGCTATGAAGCTAAAGAAAGTCAAAGGCAAGTGTCATTTGAGTCTGCTCTTTGGAAACTTTTCTTTGGACCTACCCAACAGCCTGCAAGTCTTCTATGTCTCTAGTCGGGGCCCCTCGGTCTGCTCTGCCCCACAGAAACATAAGAAAACCACACAGAGGAGCTAAATGAGTCATTTTAATTTTTGTCTGGTAGCCACATTATAGAAAGACAAAAGAGAAATGGAATTGATTTTAATATATTTCACTTGACCTAAACGATCAAAATTATTTCAATGTACTACTGTTATATTTTTAAGTGAAGACTTTTTTTTTGCTTGGTTTTCAACTTGTGATGTATCACAACTTAGACAAGCCACACTACATGGGTGTAACAGCTGCAAGTCACTGTCTTCGACCGGAAATCTCAGAGCGATCACTGAAGGGACTAAGGAGAAGTGCAGTGAGGTGGGGGACAGCCCAACAGCAACAGCGGCTCCAAGATACTGACAGATGTTTCATTTCGCAGGGAATGAATTGATGATAACATCCATGATGGTTTTACAACCCTTCAACCTGGAGTTATGTTAACATAAGAGAAATTACCATTCAAAGACAGAATTTTGTCTCTTCTATCATTCCGTGTGTGTGTGTGTGTGTGAGAGAGAGAGAGAGAGAGAGAGAGAGTAGTTGGAACACAGTCTCAGACATTCAAGGCATCTGCTTAACCACCGAGTCACATCCTTAACTCCTCCTGGAATTTAAGCATGTATATGATGATGATGACGATGATGGTTTTCCAAGTTTCCCTCATTGAGCTTGCTGAATCTTGCCCGTTTCTGGTGAGCAGGGTTATTTGAGGTCATCTTTCATGGGCCCTCTTTGACTGTGGTAGTTACTGGAGCAGCCTACCTATCATTTATCATCTAACTACAGAGTTCAAACGTGCCCCACCCTTCACTGCTCTGAGCGGCTCCGGATTCTACACAGTTGTCAAAACCTTGAGGAGGGAACAAACTCCCTTTCCTTAACTTCTGTTCACATCCTGTTTTTCTTATTCCTTCTGCCTTGCCTCTTTATCCTTCACGCTTTTATTTGGAAAGTATTATCACGGGGCTTTCAGAGTGCAGAAGGCCCGACTGCGGTAAAGAAATTTTTTGTGATCTCTCCTGACGGTCAAGTGCAGAACCCTCCCCTCCGCCCCCCCCCCCCCCCCCAACAAAGTAACGCCGGGTAAGGACAGGCGTAGAAAGAAACGGTTTCTGCTGCTTTCAAGATGACAATTTAGTGTCCCAGTACTTTTCTGAGACAGAAAACATTAAAAGTCTATTTATGGCGATCGTGACAGTAGGGATAATTGGCCAGTTCCCGAAGGGTCAATAACGGTGCCAGCCCGGGAGGAGAGAGGCAACGCATGTTGCAGAAGAGCGAGTTCTACACGCGCAAACACGGGGCATCGAGCAGAAGGCTTGCTGCAAGTGGCAGGGCCTAGCGTTTCCCGGGCCTCCCTCTGCTGCTTCCCCTTCCTCAGGCCCAGGGTTGCAAGCCCTGCTCCATCCTCTCTCCCTGCCTCCGCCTGCCTGCCTGCCTGCCTGCCTAGGGGCGCTGCAAACTCCCGCTCCCCGAGCTCTCGGGCCGCCTGGAGACTGGTACCCTCCGATATGCCACCCCCACCTCCAGGGGCCCCGGCGCGCGTGCGCAGAACCTCCTCTCGCGCGAACGCGCTGCCATCACCCCCCGACAACCCCGCGCCCGAAGCCGGGGATGCGAGGTCCGCGGTGACCCAGCCCGGGCGCAGCGTCCGGCCTCTGCTGTCCGTCCGGACGGCTCCTCCTCCTCATCCTCCTCCTCCACCTCCGCGGCCCAGCTCGGGATCGCGTCCACGCGGGCGCGCGCCCGGCCTCCAAACAGTCACCTCGAGCCGCGCGCCGGGAGAAGGCGGCCCCGCAGGACAGGAACCCGAACGCGCGGGCCGCGGGGCGGCCGCGCGGGGCCCCGCCCCCCGGGGCCGGCGTCCCGCCTCCCCATTGGCCCGCGCCCCTGTCCGTCTCCGCCCCATGGGGCTCGGCCGGCGCTCCTCCCGGCTCGGGCTCCTCACTCGGCCGCTCTCGGGCTGCTGCTGCCTTGTCGGCTGGTGTCCGGCTGCCCACGCCAGTCTCGGGCGGAGCTGGCGCCGGCTCGCGCGGAGCTCGGGCGAGGGGACGGCGGGCCCGGGCGGCAGCTGAGCATCGCCTGCGTGGGCGGCAGGGCCGCGGCCTCTGTGCTCGGGCAGCACCACCTGTCGCGGGGCCGGGACGTCGGGTAAGGCGCGGGGCGGCCTGGCGCGGCGGGGGCCCCCGGCCGGGGCAAGCGGGCAGCGCCGGGGGAGCCCCGCAAGCCGGCCAAGGTCCTCGCCGGGCGGCGGCGGGGTGCGGCGTGCGGGGTGCGGGGTGCGGGCGGCGCCTCGTCCTCCAGGCTGGAAGCGGGGAAAGCGGTCAGGTCGCGGTGACCGCCCCGCTTCCCCCTCACCCCCCCCACCCCCCCAGCCCAACCGTCCGCGGCTTTCCCCGGGCGCACGGCTTTGGGGGCGCGCAACTTGCCGGGGCCCTGGGTGGGGGGCCCCGGCGCCCTCCTGCCGCCCGGCGTGAGGCCCCGGGGCCTCCCCGGCGCGAGCATCTCTCCCTCCTTCCCGCCCCCTCGCGCCCCTGGCCGGCCGATTTGGTGGCGCCAAGCCACGAGCAGAGCCCACGGGTCTCGCTTTCTGCACGCACCAATTCCGGGGCGGGCGGCGCGCGGCGGCGCGTGTCCCTGCGTCCGCTCGCCGGTTTGTCGTCCCCCCCCCGCACCCCCCCGCCCCGTGCCGCGCTTGGAAGGAAGTTGTTGCAGGCTAGAAAGTTCCAAGATTGGAACGGTTCGGTTCCTTATCCGAAATGGCATCGGTGGCAGCCCCAGGATTGGCAGGTGTTTGGCGCCGGCGAGGACCATCGCCAGCGCGCCGCGAGGTGCCTTGCCACCTACCAGTGCGCGGCGGTCCAGGACTTTGACTTTTTTTTGATTTTGCCGACCTGGCCTCCAAAATCGGGTGGTTGCCTTGGCAAGAAGTGCAATCAAAACAACTCTTTTATTTATTTATTTATTTATTTATTTATTTAAAACAACAACAACAACAACAGAAGGGCTTCCATGTAAAATGCATCTCCTGTCTGCGTGATTGACCTCACTTCTGAGTGGTTTGGGGTCATACCCGGCTGTGCTCAGGGCTTACTTCTGACGCTGCACTCAGGAATTAATTAGCCCTGGTGGGGCTCCGGGGACCGTATGGAACGAGGGCATTGAACATTGGCCGCGTGCAAGGCAGGCGCCCTCCCCGCCCCAGCCCCTGATTTACCTTCCTAATACTTGGCGGCAACTACTTTTAAACAAAGCAGCTAATTGCCATTTCTTTTCGTTTCCATGGAAGAAGCGTATATTGTTAATTATGGGCTGGGCACTGTTTTCTGCGTGAATTGTCTGCATATAACTCTCTTAAGGTTGGTACATCTCCAGTTTGCAGATGAAGAAATTGAGGCCTAGGAAGGTAAAGTAACTTAACAATCAAAGGTTCTAAGTGGCGCTGCCTGGCTGGATTCAAACTCAGGCAATTTAATTAACCTCCACCACCAATAAAAAGAACCCATATCTCTTAAGCCTGAATGCACCTTAAACATTAGTCATGTTATGAAGTGAATTGTTACAAAGCTATTTTGTCATTTTGATGACAAAAATTTTCATCTTTAGCTCTTAAGTTTTGTTCTTTAGTTTTCAAACATTCTGGAAGTTAAGGAAGTCCTACCTGATACCTGGGCATAGATGCATATAATAGTTATAGTAGTCACCCAAAAGTTACATAACCTACCTGTTCTGCCTATAGTCTATTCTGTCTACAGATTCATGTATATATAATGTATAGATTATGTAGCTGCACAAAGTATAAATCCATAATCTATTTTTATATAGATTATACATTTATCCTTTGTGTAATTACTGTGGTTGAGTTACGTGTTGCTCTATTATGTGGTCTGGAGAAATATAGGAAAAACAGTTTAACCCCATTTTATGCTATTGGACCTTTACATAATTAACTTTGAGCACTGACTTGTATGTTTCACTTATTTTTTGTTTGTTTGTTGAGTGCTGGGAGTTGAGTTTAGGGTCTTAAACATGCAAGGAAGTGCTCTACTTCTGAACCAAGACCTCAGCAAAGAGTTATTATAGACTTAAGGCAAAACTAGGAATGCTGCTATAGCAAACTTCCTCAACAATCACTGGGAAATGGTGGGCTACTCTTTTGTAGTTTTTCATTCTCTTAAGAATTGAAACTTACCCCTGGAGGGCGGTGAGGAAGTCTAGTGGTCTCTAAGGTTGGGGAGGATTTTGACACTTTGAAAATAAGTATGGTGGTAATATGTATTTTTGAGAGCTGTGAAATGTTCCTCTAAAACAAATACAGTAAATCAGTTTTTAATAAAAATGAATTCATTTTAAAATAACCTAATTTTTAAGGTATACTTTAACAAGAAGTATCTTGTTCTGTGAATGAAATGCATTAGGGTTTATCCTCAGATGGTGTTTGTGTAGTGTTTTTTGGTCTCAGTAAATTTGTTTAAAGAACATTTTAAAATTTCTAAGGAAAACCTGTTACCACTTGAGAATTTCTTTTGTAAATCTTTTAGTAAATTGACTCCTATGGTGCTGTTTATGCATAACTTGTATTTAGTTTTACTTAAAAATAAGCTATTTTAAAATAAAGTCTCCAATGGAGACGTTACTGGGCCCGCTCGAGCAAATCGACGATCAATTTTTTATTAAACTAGAAAAATAATTTATGTCGGTGAATTTCAGATAAATTTAATAGCCATTCTTTAAAACTGAACACCAAAAACCTAGTTACTTACTGTAAAATATCAGTTTCAAAGGACAAAATTCATGTTAAATAACCAGAATTATAATATGTGTTTGTTTTATAAAAAAAAAGTAATTATTTGATTAAAAGGTTTTTTACTGGCCAGGGAGATGGCTCAATGGGCCAAGCACATGCTTTATATGTTGGAGGTCCTGGTCTGATCCCCAGCACTGCATGGTCCCCTGAGCTCTACAAGTGGGACCTAAAAATAAAAGTTAACTGAAAAAATCACCATTTTGATTACATAGCTGCATATTATACCTCCTCTGATAGTTCAGTAGAAATGAAATATATTTTTATTTTAAGATGGCATTTGATTGTTCCCTGGATCAGTATGCCATCTAAAGTCTCACTTTGATCCAGATATCTAATTTGAAATAGTTTAAATAAATTTTATTTATGATTATCCTCACAGACTCAACATAGGTTTTGAAGTAGAAGATGTTGATGCAGGAACTAACAGGCACTTGGTTCTCACTGCTTGGCCTGTTAGTGCTAATAACAGTAATGTGTAGATAGCTGACAGGCGAGGACTGTTGGCACCATGATAAGCATCTTACGTGGATTATCTCATTCAGATCTGAAGCCAGCCTACTTTCTAGGTCCTGATGTTTATCATCCCCATCTGAGTGATGAGGAAACCGCAACTCAGGGAGACTGAGGCTCTAATTTATTCTAGGTAACAGAGCTGGTAGTGGCACAGCCAGAATTTTAAAACCTTGCTGTTTAATTCTAGAGTTGTGTTTCACCATTCAGCTAGACTGCCTTAATTGGGGCTCTGTTGAATAAAGCTTCGAGTCAAGTATTCAGTTTCTTTATGATGATACGATTCTGGAATCTTGATACTTTGGGGGTCATGAAGCTCAAGAACCATTCTAGACTTAGTGCTTAAGGGTGTCTCCCGGGGAGGGGGTCTCAAGGCACCAGTCAGTGCTAGATTGAATGGAGCCTCCCCTACTGCGTATAAAGCAAGTGCTCCGACCTTTGAGCTGTCTCTTCTGCTGTAGGTCTTGATACTTTATATAGCCCCATTTTAACACATAGGTCTGTGAAAATAATTCCCTTCCTCTGTCTTAATTGGTGGCAAAAAGTGAGTCTTCGGAATCATTTCTCCTGAGAATGAAATGGGTTGGTACCCAGACTTACGGACTTCGTGGGCCATTAAAATATATAGTGACCTTATTACATGAATTATAGTAAAGGTTTTGTGATTTTATGATAATGTATTTAACAAAATACTATCTTCAGAAATGTAGATAATAAATAGATAGGTATATGTAGTGTGTGTATGTGTAATTAGGGTGTTATTGGAACCAAACAGAAGATCTCCAACTTTTAATCTGTCAAGGTTAAAGAGCTTGTTAAAAGGTCTACAAATGACCACACCCACACTTTCTAGTAAGAAAGGTATTTTACCACCAAAAGGTAGGATGATCATGTTTATAAACTAAAAACAAAATCTTGATGTAGTGAAAAAAAATCACACTGTTTGAATTTTTCTCATTTAGTCATAAAGTAGTGAAAAATGTATGCCAACCACACCAGTTCCAGGGACCTTTGGAGAATGCCTAGGTACCACAGCTGATTCTAAACTAGCAGTTAGCAGAGTCCAGATTCAAACCCAAGGCTGTCTGACTGTAAAGATTGTGCTCACTAAGTCATGACCTCTCTGTAATTTGGTCTCTAATTAATGCATTGACCTTCTCCTTTCTATCCCCAGGTATGGGGCCAAGGAGAGTAATCTCCAGCAGCCAATGGCCTGGCAGTTTTCAGTTTATAAACACCACCAGAGAATAAGTTCCGCTGCCTCCAAGGCCTAGGCAGTGTGAATGGCACACCAGGGAAGAAACCACAGATAATCTCAGCTCAGTATCCAAGAAACGCTCTAGTAAGCAGCTTGATTTTACATGTTTATTCAAAATTAGTAGCCCCAACTCTTTTTGTTTCTGTTTTTACCCGGCCCATCCTTTCTGTTCTTCTGTCATTCTGTGGAACATACTGAGTCAGATGTAGTCTTTTTTTCCCATTTATCTTACTGCCTCCAGCTGTTACAATGCCAGCTTGCCTGTTTGTCTGTCTTGTCTGTCTTGTCTGTCCCTCAGTCTTTAATTTTGGCCGAGATTTTATTCTTTGTTTCTTTTTTTTTTTTTGCTTATTTCAAAAACTATTAAAAGTACCTTTTAATTTTAATTTCTGTTAGTAATAAAGTAGTACTTTGATATAACACACTATCCTTATTCTTTAATTGTAATATCATTTTGCATTTACTGTTCTATTTGTTCATCACAGTTATCTATGAGGTAGATTTGCTGGTATTGGAAACTGAGTTCTCAGGCCTTCTTCAGTTGTAAGGACCAAATTAGGGACACAGAGGCAGAGGATAGGAAATGCCTGTTCTCTCCATAGTTGGTTAGGGAATCTGAGTCCTGGCTGGAGTGAGGCCATCCATCCTACTCCACATCACAGAGAGAATTCATGGGTTGCCTCTCAGTTGAGTTCAGGTGTAACGTTCTGTTTCTGAGGTGCAGAAACATTAGCAAAGAAACCAACGTAGAAACTGGTTATAGGCAGTAAGCACTTTACATATTATTTTGACATAAACTTGAAAATATCTCCACTGGGTTGGTTTCTATTAACATCCCCATATATGTGGAAGCATCACCAAAGATAGTTCTAATTTTTTAGAAATCTGAGTTTACAGACAAAAATTATGCTATCAAAGAATTAAAAAATTTATACCCACCACTAAAGGCAGATGTTAAAATATTTAAAGAAACAGGCAGGGATAGGTGAATATGAAAAAACAAGTACACATGATATAGGGCGGGGGGAAGGCTTATCAGAAATAATGAAGAGAATGGTGAGATTTTAAATATTAGATGTACAGTGATAAGGCACTTGCCTTATACGCAGCCAATCTGGGTTCAATCCCCGGCACCTCATGGTCTCCCAAGCCCACCAGGAGTGATCTCTGAGCACAACTAGGAGCACTGCTGGGTGTATCCCCAAAACAACAAAATAATAATTTTTAGAAAATATCAGAGAAATATTTCAATTATAGAAATGAAGTTCTTACTTTAAAATATAGGATTTACGCAGGAAAAAGAGAGAACTTCAAAGAAAGATTTAAAGTATAGCCAGAGGCTCAGGGACTGAAAAATTTGGACTATGAGATGAAAATAAGGTTCAAGAATATTCCACTGCCAATGACTAGATGTGATATTGGGCATGTCAGTATTATCTCTGAACTTTGCTTTTCTCATTTAAACTTAGAGATTAAAAAGGTGATGTTAAGACTCACATAACTGGGGTCGGAGTGGTAGTACAGCAGGTAAGATGCTTGCCTTGCAGATGGCCTACCTGGGTTCAATACCTGGCATCCCATTTGCTCCTATAAGCATGACCAAGGGTGATTCCTGAGTGCAGAACCAGATGTAAGCCAAGGTCATCACCGGGTATGGCCCAAAACCCCCCCAAAAGAAATATTTGATTCTGTAAATACACAAGTTAAATTAAAACAGTTTAGTTTAAGGCTTGTTAATGTAATACATGCTTTAGAGAAGAAGTTCTGTCACTGGCATCATTATGTATAAAACATACTTTTGATCATTAATGTTTCTGTTGGTAATAGAATGATGAAAAAAATTCCCTTAACATTTGAAAGCTCAGACTTTAAAAACATTTAAAGCCTCAGGCCAACAAATTGGTTATATTGGTTTTTTTCAGAGAAAGGAAATTTGCTATAGATTGGAAGAAACGTTTTGCTGTTTATTCCTTTTTATATCTTCAATTCCCAACATGTGGAAATGAATAAGACTAATTAGATGAGTAGAATACAGAATTCCAGTATTAATGTTTCTGTCCTTCTGAAAACATGAATTGGAAGCTGTCAGAAGATTGTACCTTTTGGGTGATAACGATCTGGTGATAGTAGAAGTAATTTGCTTGTGTTTAACTAAAAAAAAGTGATTTCAGTGGGTATATTTACTTCTTTTTTTTTTCTTATATTTTGTCTTAGAGCTACTCAGTTATTTTTTGGCCTGGCCTGATATCACGTGTGATTTTCAGGTTTCATTCTATTTTTAAAATACTCAGAAGTAATTGGTATACTTAAATTTTTGAAGATCGCCAGTTGCCGATTTCCTGCTCTTCTTACCATTTCCCTGGTGCTCTACATTCTTTGTCAGCGTTTCTTTAAAGGTCATTCTTGATTCTGAAGTTTCTTCTGCAAAGATGTGAATAAAGTAGCCACTGTCTTCCCTGGCTACCTTCTGCAGTGCTTCTTTCTTTGTCTTAGACTAGAAAAACTTTTCACATCATGCACATATTTCTTCATTCATTTCGATACATGTCAGAGAATATAAAACTAAGTTCTAGGACTATAACAGTGAAATATTATCACACGCCACCCCACCCCCGCCTTCCCTAGGAGGCAAGTGGAGGTTTTCCAAGCAGCCCTGGGGAGCCAGGGGCCACCTATGGAGATTCTGGCCAATCCGGCAGGACAGTTCAGTGCTAGGAGCAGGCAATATGATGCAACTGGAGCTCAGCAGTGAGTAGGGGCTTCTACGGGAACCCACAAAGCCTGCACCTGTGACCCCTACCCCATCCCCAGCCATCTTCCCTACCATAAGAAAAATTTCTTTTTTAGGTTGTTTGGTTTTTGTCGTTGTTGTTTTGTTTTGTTTTGTTTGTTTTTTAGTTTTGGGGTTGTTCCCGGCAATGCTCAGGGGTTACTGCTGGCTCTGCACTCAGGAATTGCTGTTTGTGGTGCTTGGGGAACCGAATGATATGCAGGAATCAAACCCAGGTTGTCTGTGTGCGTGGCAAGCACCCTACCTGCTGTGCTGTCATATTCTTAACAGTGTTGACAGACTTCCAGTACTGCACGTTTACTCTCAGAATCATCATCCATACCAATGTGTGTTGTTGAGAGGCTAAACCTCCTGCAGATGGTCTTGAAACAGGACATCAGCTCTTTAGAAATCGGTGGATGAAGTGACGGTTGATAAGGGAGGCAGAAAACAACTTCATCCGTTTCCTGCAAGCTTAATATTTTCAGGGTCCAAGAATAAATGTTCATGATGACATACTTATTCAAACTCTTGATCTCTGAATTGAAAACTTTACAGCTAAACCAGAAATAATTCAACCACTGCCACCCCATCTCTCAAATTGTGTGTGTGTGTGTGTGTGTGTGTGTGCGCGCGCGCGCGCGTAATGTTTAGGTTTTGTGGACTTTGTGCGTTTTTGTCATGTACTGTTCTTTTAAAATTTATGCAAAGTAAAAACCGTTTTTAGCAAATGGGTCTTATAAAATGAGACCTTTCTACCCATTTACAAATTTTAGGAATTGATATAAACTTCTAAAATGTCTTTTAATAGCTTTCAGTTTTTTCTCATTAGAAGGGAATACTTCTCTGGTGAATGAGGAGAGAAGAAAAGCCAAGAGTCTTTTCTTAGAATATCAATAGGTACATCGGTAAAGGTTAGATCATATCGTTCAAACCTTTAATTTACTGCTATTTCCATCTTCCCTGAGATCTTACACAATTAGAATGCTACTCTAGCATTTGTTAGCATATTTGATGTTGTTTCCATTTGTCTTTTGAAACATTATTTTGGAAATCACTTCAGATGCTTGGTTGCATCATGCATCCTATTTGACCCTTAATACTTCAAGGACAAGACTATCTCTTATATAAATTGTCAAATTCAGAAGCTTGAAATTGTATAGCAAGTCTGTTTGAACTACAATATATCTTCCAGTTTTGCAGTTATTCCAGTAATGTCTTTTGTAGTAGTTTTTTTTCACTGTGTACTACAGACTTTGGCAGGTTTTGTATTTAGCTTGGCTTGGGCTTAAACTTGCACTAATTGAGATCAGGGGTGTAGGTCACCTGTTTTATCTCTGCCACAGTGAAACAACAAAGCAGTGACTCCTGAGATACTATCTTTATTATCATTAACATTTTTGAAGAACCTATTAGTTATGTTGTGGTATGTCTCATTATTCTTTTTTTTTTCTTTTTGGGTCACACCTGGCGATACACAGGGGTTACTCCTGGTTCATGCACTCAGGAATTACTCCTGGCAGTGCTCAGGGGACCATATGGGATGCTAGGAATCGAACCCAGGTTGGCCGCGTGCAAGGCAAACGCCCTACCCACTGTGCTATCGCTTCAGCCCCATGTCTCATCATTCTTGATGGTGCATAGCATATAGAATTCTGTTAGCTTTTTCATATGAAACATCCATGTTTGTATGAACTACTCAGAATAGTTACATCCATAAAGACAGCAGACTGCAGGGATTAGGGGAGGGAGAAATAAGGGCTCACTGCTCACAGTGGGTATGGTATTTCTTTGGGGAGGATAAACATTTTTTTGGAAGCGGATAAAGGTGATGGATTGTACAGTACAGTTTTTTTTAATAAATTCTTTGAACTGCTGATTTTAAAATTGTTTTTGTGTTTGATTTTACATCCATGAATATTAACTTAAAAAATTCCAGTGGAAGGAACTAGAGGGATGGTGCAGCAGGTAGGGCGCTTGCCTTGCATGCAGCTCACCAGGGTTGAACTCTCACACTCCTTGTGATCCCAAGTCCACCAGGAGTGATCCCTAAATGCAGAGCCAGGAGTAAGCCCTGGGTGTGCTCCCACCCCCCCCCCCAGCCCCAAAAACAAGTTTAAATGATTTTGTTCCACCCTTATATACGGATCATAGATTTCTCTGCAAATACAATCTCCATTAAAAAAAAAACTTCTTGATATGTGCACTGATTTGTAATGATTAAAGAAATAAACAAGTAGTACAGATTGACTTTTGGTGGGAAAACTGATGCAAAGAATCACTTCTGTTTCCAGCAGTGAATGTTTAAGATTTAATACATTTAGAGTTCTGTTGGGCTGGAGCAATAGCACAGCAGGTAGGGCGTTTGCCTTGCACATGGTCGAGATTCAATTCCTCCACCCCTCTCAGAGAGCCTGGCAAGCTACTGAGAGTATCTCGCCCGCAGGGCAAAGCCTGGCAAGCTACCCGTGATGTATTCGATATGCCAAACACAGTAACAAGAAGTCTCACAATGGAGATGTTACTGGGCCTGCTTGAGCAAATCGATGAACAACAGGAGGACAGTGCTACAGAGTTCTGTTAGGAAAAATTCTCATGTGTTTATAGATGTAAAAGAACAAAAACATGTTTTCTAACCAGTTTTTCTGGTGGGGAACCACACCCGGTGATGCCCAGGGGTCACTCCTGGCTCTGCACTCAGGGATTATTACTCTTGGCAGTGCCCGGGAGAACCAGATGGGATGCCAGGTATTGAACCCAGGTGGGCCCCAAGCAAGGCAAATGCCCAACCCACTGTTCTATCACTCCAGCCCCTCTGGACAATTTTTAAGTATTAAATAACAAATTTTCCAATGACAGAAAGAAATCTATTACAGTTAAACACTGACTATAATAGACTAAAATACATTAATATTCTAAACCTTGATTAAGAATCTGGGGAGCTTCTCTTTAGCTGAATGTGTATGCTCCAGGCTGTCCTGTGATTGACTTTTCCATTTCTGGACCTGAAGTCTCACACTCATCTAAGATGTGTTCATTTGATGGCCTTGTTTTTTGTGTTTGTTTTGGGGCCATAACCAGTGGTGCTCAGGACTTACTCCTTGCTCTGTGGCCCAGGATCATTCTGGCAGGATTCAGGTGACCATATGGGATGCTGGGAATTGACCCAGCTTGGGGTGCAAGGTCATTACCCACCCACTGTACTCTCTCTCCACCTTCCTTTTTCGCTTTGTTTTTTAACCTATAAGTTTCTTTCTTAAGTGGGAGGTAGATACCTTGTAATGTTAGTGTGGTTTAGAAATTGGCTAAATGGTTAGTAGTTTATATATTAAAAACATCAATGACATTGGTAGAGGAAGTCTGACACTGGTGGTTAGGAGTTGAAACATTGTATACCTAAAACTTTATATTGAGAGCATTGTAAATCATAGTGCCTAAATAAAATCTGTTTTCAGAAAAAAAATAACACTGATGATTATTCAAGGATTTTGAGTATTGTAGGGAAAAGTTTACCTGTTACTACCCTTAAAACCATCATAACCTGTAAAAATATAAATGTATTTTGAAAAATATTTTTCTGTGAAAGTTAAGTTTCTAATCTGGTTTTGATTGCCTGTTTGCTTGTTGTACATGAATTTCTACCCCATTTCACACAGTGGTTTTTTGTTTTTTCGCTTTGTGTTTCCTAGGTGAAAGAAAAGATGCTGTCTCGGTTAAGAGTAGTTGCCCCTCCTTGTTCTCGGGCATGTCGGCGTCTAAGTACAAAAGAGAAAGGCAAGCCGCTTATGCTGAACCCAAGGACAAACAAGGTCAGTCATGGCAACGTTAACATATGTTTCCTGATGAAGGTTTGAGCTATTTTACACAGAAGTACAAAATTTTTCATGTTCTGTAGCTAGATGCTAAAAAATATTCAGAAGTATTTGCTTTTTCTGCATGAACTTTACCCAGGGGGCAAGATTCTTGGCAGCTGTTTACCCTGCAAAATGCCACCTCTCCCAACTTCTGTCACCAGAAAATGTTGGACTCGATTTTCTTATTCTCACACCAAAAACTCCCTGGAAGAGCAGTCTGGACAGGACGTTGCTGGATGTGGGACATTGGGCCAAACTCAGTTCAAATTAGGTGCTCGTCCTGTACCAATCAGTAGGGCCCTTGAAAAGAGGATTGTAAAATAAAATGATATCTAATGTCTACCCCATTTTGCATCTACCCAGATTTTATGGACACAAATTATTTTACACAAGTGTTTTTGCATGTTAATCACACTATTGCTTCAAAGGAGAGAGACCTCTGATCTCTAGGGGTAGAAATGATGGGCATTATTAAGATGGAGTCTTTTCTTCCCAGTAATAAGAAGTCTTATTGGGTTTACTTGGAAAGTACAGTCTTCTCTTTTTCAGTGGCAGTGATAAGTAGTTAATAAAATAATTCTTTAAATTTCTTATAGGAGGCTTGCAAAAAATATTATTAAAATATCTAAAACTTACCTTTAGTATCTATCATAAAAATTAAATTTTTAAAGGAGCATTTTCAGAACAATTACTGAAATTTGAGTATGGATTACATGTTGTATAATAGTACCATTTAAATATTAAGCTTAATTAGGATGTGACACAAGTGGCAGAGGATACGTCCAGACCCTAGATATGGTTCGATCCCCAGCATTTCACAACCTCTAGCACCAGTAGGTATGGCCCCTACAACAATAAAAATAATAAATGTTAAGCGTCTGAATTGTGCTGAGGTTATGAGAGTAGGCTTAAAGAGATTTATCCTTAAACATTTTAATGTGAACATTTTTGATATATGCAACTAACTGTTAAATGGTTTAGAAAGATTAGGCAAAATGTTAATCTAGGTTTCAAAGGGTGTTTGACAATTCATTGTATTATTCTTGAGAATTCCCTGTAGTTTAAATTTTTTTAATGAAAGTATCTATGTGAGAACACTGTATGACTGGAACCCGACCACAAACAGCTTTGTAAGTCTGTCTCCCAGTGATTCAATAAAAAAATTTTGATTTTTTTAAAAAAGAAAGTATATATGTGAATGTAAAAAAATTAAAATTTACCTTTTGAGAAAGGTACATTCAGTTAAATGGAATTTGAAGCATCGGTCATCAGAAGTTTTCCCATTCCATTTGTTTACCATTCTAGAGGAATAATACTTAATTACTTTGATGACTTTGGGAGGCCAAAGGGAGATACATTTCAGCACCTAGTATAGAATCAGAATTCAGAAACAGTGAGTTAGTGCATTAAACACAGTTTAATGAGAGATACTCTAATTTGCTTTTTTTGACCTCACCTCATCATATCTTGCTTACCTGGATGCAACTCCAGAAAAATCCTTTTCCCCTCTAGATTCTTTGACACCACCATGGCCCGGGGTATTGTTTTCTTTGAAACTAATTTTCCTGTTCCTGTGGCCAGAGCTTACTCTTAGATTTCTTCTCAGGGATCCCTCCTGATGTTATTCAGGGAACCATATGCAGTTTTAAGAAGATTGTTGCTGTGATTAATAAATAATAATTAGAGACTGGAGAGATAGGGTAAGACATTTGTCTTGCCCATGACTGACCGGGGTTCGATCTCTGGCATCCCATGTAGTCCTCAAGCACTACGAGGGGTAATTCCTGAGTACAGAGCCAGGAGTAATCCCTGAGCATCGATGGGTGTGACCGAAAACTCAGAAATAAATAAATAGTAATTAAATAAAGTACTAAATTCTTAATATTTTAAAATATATGTCTGTGGAATTCCTGTCTGATTCCTGTCCACTAACTGAATACCTGTCATTGTTATGTCTGTAAAACTTAGTGTGGTCTAGTAAATGTAATAGTTTACAATTTTAGCCACTGAATAAAGGTATACCTTGATGTTGGGGGTCTCTCACTGCTTGGTACCTTTTCTTTACCTGGATTGGAGAGCCCATGACAATTAACATTTCCATCTTCACAGCCTGGCCCAGTATCCTTGTCTGTATTTTCTGTTTCTGTGGGATTGCTATTCTGGTATGGGTATGAAATTTTGATGAGAATTTTTGAAAGGCTTTTTTCTTTTTTTTCTTGTGTTTTAAATTTTTTTTTTCCTTTTAATTGAATCGCTGTGAGGCACTCGGTTACAGAGTTGTTCATGATTGGGTTTTAGCCACACAATGTTCCAACACGGCTCATTCCTTCACCATTTTACATTTCCCACCCCAGTTTCCATCCTGCCACCCCGTCCCCCAGCCTGCCTCTCTGGCAGACGCTTTTCTTCCAAAAGGCTTTATTCTTTAAAGCAGTGTTGCTCAACCTTTTTCCAATCCTGGCCTCCACCCCCCCCCCCCCCCCAATCTTGTTCTGTTCCTGTGGTCCTCATTCTACTGGCTGGCCACCGAGTTTTGTGCCATGTCATCTACCTGTGGCTCCTGTAAATGTCTTGGACCTATGACTGCTGCTTGGGAATCACTGATTTAAAGAAAAGCATCATTAGATTATGAGAAGGAGTTTAAGTATTAATTGGAGCACTTCCGTTTGCCAGCAGTGAATCTTTGAGAAATCATTTAACTTCTCTGGAGAGAAGTTTTCTGATTTAATAGTTTAGATAATAGAACATTTAAAAACATTCAGAGAGCTATACAGTGTAAGGTTAAATTTCTCCTTTCGTGTCTGTTAGGCTAACTTTTCTAATTTTTTTTCCTCCTGTTATAAGGGCAATGCCTGTTGGTGCTCAGGGCCACATCTGGTACCATGGATCAAACCCAAGACTTCACACATGCCAGGCATGTGCTCTCCCATTTGGTCTACATGCCCAGCTCACCCTTTCTAAGTTTTAAAACTCAGTTCTGTACCTCCAGGAAGTTCCACTGACCTTTTTCTTTGCTTTCACACCAAATTGCTTAAGCTACTCCCATATTTCTGTTCTTTTGGTATTATTGTGCCTGCCTCGATTATTACCTTTATCCCTGTTGGAATTATCTGACTACTCCTTGAGACAATGACTGCCTTGAGCAGAAGACCCGTTTTTCATTTCACTACCCTAAAATATGTCTCTTAGCACTGTACTTATCATACACAAAGCCCCAGTACTTGTTGGCTGGATTAACTAAGAATTAATCTCATCTCTCTATGGTTTAGTACATTGAAGCCCCAAGAGATTTCATGCTTTACTTAAGTTTTCTTTTTAGAGCTCAGTTTTATGAGCTCTAGTTTCTGTGAGAATTTTGCATGTATTTACTTAAATTTCCTCTGACTTGTTCTCTTATTATACACTAATTCATTTTTCTTACAATTTTCATTATTAGCTCAAGTAATTTTTTTATTTTGGTATAGTTTGGGGGCCCCACCTGGTGGAACTCAGGGCTTACTCCTGGCTCCAAACTCAGGGATGACTCTTAGTGAACTTAAGAGACTCTGTGTAGTGCCGGGGTCAGACCCTGGTTGACTGCATTCAAGGCAAGCACCTTACCCTCTGCAATATCTCTTTATTTTGCTGTTTATCTCCTTAATACTGTATTTACTTTTAAGATTGTATTATACAATTTTATATGCTATTATTCAGAAAAGTTTATTATAAATAATCTTTCCAGTCAATCTATAGCTTCAGTAGCTTTGTAGACAGCACTGTAATCTTCACTATAACCTCTTTGGATCCTGATTTCTTAAATAGAGTGCTGAAGAGGAAAAAGAAAGTGTGTAAAGCTATTTGAAGCACTGTTAAATACTGCATAAAAATTGGTTTTCCTTTTTGGTAACATTTTATAATTTAGTAGACCATGACTTATTGTTTTCAATTTTGAGGTAAATTATTTGCCATTAATCACGTTATTACTTTTAAAATAATTAATTTCCTAATTCATGACAGATTATTTTAACTACATGGAGAGAAAGTGATAGAGGAGGGTTTTTTGGTTTGTTTCATTCTGATGTATGCTTACCTATAATTCAGGAGTCTGATTAAAAGATTTTATCTCTTAACTGGTGTCAGAAACAGCATGTGTCTGAAGGGAATAGCTGAAATCTTTCAGGATCAGCTAAGGGAGATACCTTCCTGTGTAAATTGAAGGGCACTGCTTTTGCCCAGATAAGGAAAAAGGCAGGTCTGATGAGACAGCTGGTATTGGGAGATGCAGAGAAAAGGGAGAAGGGCAGGAGAGGTGAAGATTGCTTCTGCTGGCAGTTTGCAATCGAGGCGTTCATTTAAAAACAGTGACTTGCATGTTGGTATCACTATATTTTTCTAATTAATTTTATTAAGGTAATAATAATTCTCTTAGAAGGCTATTCTATTTAAGAATTTAATAAAATACTGGTTTTTATTTACCAGTTATTTTTTTACCAACATAAATAACTCGTTTCTATACCCACTCATCTGCTTGGTTGTTTTCCTCTCATGAATAGTGCTGCTCTGAACATAGGGCACACATACCCTTTCGAATTAATGTTTTGAGGCCGGGGAAATGACTCAGAGGACTTGAGTGCATGCTCTGCAGATTGGAGCCCCAAGTTTAACCACATTTAAGCACTGCAAGGTCCCAAGAGCACACTGGGGTGTGCCACACCCTCCCCCCCCCCCCCCCCCCCCCCCGATAGCTCAGCGGGTAGGGTGTCTGCCTTGCACGTAGCCAACATGGCCGACCCGAGTTCGATTCCTCCGCCCCTCTCGGAGAGCCCGGCAAGCTACCGAGAGTATTCGATATGCCAGACACAGTAACAACAAAAGTCTCCAATGGAGACGTTACCCTCCCCCCAGTGTGAGTTAATGTTTTCATATCTTCTAGATAAATGCTTCCTAAGGCATTTATATAGGAGTGGCATTTTTTA